TGTTACTTTCACGTGTATTTGCGACGTCGGCCCGTTACTGCTTCTGGTAAGAGGAATTTTCTGATTTTTCCTTTTCTTCTTGGGACATGTGTCGTTAGTTCTACGAACAGCTGTCGTCTGGGTTGTGGCGCCGTGTAGTCTGGTAGAAGTTTACCGACGTTTCAGAGGTGCTTGGTATCTCCTTCATCAGGGCGATGTAATTTATTTGTGTTTTGATTTCGTAAGTAGGTGCGTGCGTCCAAGTGTCAAAGAAGGCGGCTGGTCTTAGGGCAGTTGGATTCGTGTCGATTCGCGTTGTCGTGGCGCGACCCGTGCCCCAGTTCCTCGCACTTCCCGTTAAACCGGTTTAAGATTTTAAACATGCAGAGACGAAAGCGATTTGAAACCCCACCCCCAACTCTTCATCTTAATTAAATGCGACAAATTGTTTTTCCTTCCCCCTGTGTATTAGGCAGTGCGCACACATTGTTTTACACACACAGAGTTAACGACGGAGCCTTGGCTCTAATAAATGATGCGCCATTTGTTATTGCTAATAACAATTAGCAGCGCGAACAATAAGCAACTCCTTTTGTCTCTCTTGCCGTGAGCCTAAATGCCAGAATGCCGGTCTACGCAAATGTTCCCGTGAAGAGGCATTCGGCGTTACGTTTGTGTCAGGTGAATACCGCTCTCCGCTTTGCTCAACTTCCAGTGCTGTTAAATGGAAGAGAGTCGGGGTGGAGGGGCGTTTGGACATTACTGGTCCGGAGACTCCGGCAGTAGCAAAAGGGATGATGAAACGACTATGCTGTTCGTAGACCTGAGGAGATTAAATTAACACTTTAACTAACGTCTTTTAGTTTTAACTTGAAAACTAACACCTGGAAGTAGTTGTAAGGCGCCTCCTTGGTGGCAATTTTTCTTACGTTTTGCCCCGTAAACACATCATCAGTTTAGTCAGACACGAGAGAGACGGGGTTGGTAATTTTCGTTTAATTACAATTGTTTTGAACGCGTATCTTCGCGTTCATTTGTAGGAATTTGTTATTCTAGTGTGTGCAGGGAGCCTGGTACTAAAACTGTACCGAAATACTAAGTGGTAGCTGCTGTATTCGTAAAGTGCGCGGACAGATGCTGCGATAGTACCTTAAAATAGGCCACGATCTCCTTCCTCCACGTCCTTTGTAGTTCATTAATAATCCTGCTATTCCATTATGCATTTATCCGAAAACATTGTCATTAAATTACCCAGTAATCTCTGATTGCCTTTTTGTGCATTACTTAAGCACGCTGTTAGTAGCTCAGACTGCGCAGCGTGGAATGATCGTATTTATCTTTTATACATTGCAAAGAATATGGAAGGAGGAGGTCCCGGTCTGATGTGAGAGTCTGCATCCCAGCATTCGCCTTGAGGGACTGGCAAAAACTATGAACCACTTCCGTCAGGAATAGCTGGTATCTGGGGCGAGGTTTGAATCCAGGATCTCCCGATTACGTTACAGGAATGCTAAAGCGCAGTTCTTGGTTGCCACTATCTGGCCCTGTTAGGTGCCAGTGCAGTTAATCTGCGCGAGCTTTTATTTTGTTGTGACGTGCCGGAAGATAAACCCGCTCCGGAGTACTGGAAGAACAAAGAAGAGTTTAAGACGTACGCAAGTTCTAATTACGTCTGTTGTGTTCGTCCTTGAGAACCTCAGTGCTACTCTCGTTCTTCGCTTTTTCAAGTGGGATCGACCTGCCGTGGTGCGGGCCTCCACTTCTGTCGATCGTAAACCGCATTTACGATTTTGGGACTAGTCAAATTTAATTTCTGGTCAGTTGAAAGCAGCTACTTGGAGATTCTTGTGATTCTTGTCTGTTTTCAGTTTGTGTCTCTCTTGAAATGCGTTCGGAGGTCCGGAGAGACAGATTAAGAACTAACGGATGTTGTGAACACGGGAGGGAAACTGCGTCCGGTCGACCTCTGATAATGCAACAGAGAGCGAAACGTTTGATCTCGTGTACAGTGATTTGAGGTTTCTCCGCATTTTTCCCAGGGTGCTGTCGGTTTGAAGGTGGCTCCTGCTTCGGAGGTACCTGTCGCCTCTGTGTACAGGGTAGACGACCCTAACAATTCCACCACCTCTTAAATACGGTGTCGCAACCCAGTAGACAGAATATCAGTTTTTACTGCGTTGGTAGGGCGTTCTTTGGGATTTTGCAGGTCCAGCACTGCTCGCTACGTTTTGTACCACGAAGCTGGTTGATTGGCTCTGTGTCCGGTTGGTTGGCCTTTCCCAAGACAAGGTGTTGTTAGCCTTCTAAGCCTCTATCTAGCCTGCACTTAAACCCTTGATCAGACCGACTTTTATTACACACACTCTGTCCTGCCGCATGGTTGTCGCTTGTACTCTTGGCCTGAATGGCTCTATAAAAGGTTATGAAGATGCAGACTTTCTTGAGGCAGGGGGGGGGGGTGAAGGCAAAAGAATCATCCTAGGAGGAGAATGCTACATACAGTCGGGTTAAAAACTTGTTGTCTCTTGGTAGTGCCTCTGGCAGGTTGAGGTCCCTTAACACCGCTGGGAATTTACATCGTCTGTGCTGTGTTGTGTAGCAGGAGGGCCTTTGAGAATGTCTTGTTTCAGGCAGTGTTGCCGCTGTGATATTCGCTGTCCGTAATCAGCTTTCATATTAAATGAAGACTCTTAATACTGTCTTTACACGTTCATAATCGTACGAGCCTTACTATGTGTTCGGACGTTTCTGGAGAACATTTCCACCAAGTTCTCTTCGTATAATTTCTGTCCACGTGATGGCGTACAGCGTCTTGCGGGCGATGTGTTCAGTTTTGTGCTTGCTGTATATGCCGGTAGAGAGTTCGCCTCGCAACGCGTTCCTTTCTCTTCGTCACTACGTCTATTCCAGCGGCCAGGACGTGAGGCTGACCGACCACTCGCACCCCAGCCCGCCCGTTGCAAGATAAGACGCGGTGTGCTTTAATTACCAAGGACGCATTTATTTATTCAGAACGTCTATTCAGCACACTTGGGCGATGTTCTGAAAACCGGGTAACTCGGCCCCTCGATCCACATGTGGCCTAGGCCTGCCCTTGTGACACACATTTGAAATCCGTGGATCGGCATTGCCTATTGCGGGATGTGGCAACGTCGAGGATTGACCTGACGTCAGAGCGGACAGCAGAGGATAAGGGATCCTTTCTTGACAAGGAAGCTAGTCAATAAAATCATTAAGGCGATGGTGGAGGGTCCTTCCGCTTATGAAAGAGCTGTTTTCTGTGTTCATGTATGACTTGGCATACCCAGGTGTCGTGCCTGTCTTTCAGCAGACGGAGATTAAGGTTGGGGACTTATGAGGGGAGGGGCAGGTCTTTAGAAAACAACTTTCAATGGAGTGGGAACGCCAACTAACTGGACTCCACCCGCAGCCACACAGAGGCCCCCTGCACGGTCTTTATAGCTTCTGAAATCGCCACCCTTCTTTGGAGAGAGAAGTCGGTGGCGGCTTAAATCTTTTCCTCTGTGGCGATGAAGGACGAAACTTGCAGGTGTCTCAATTACAGTCGAACTTACCGCCTGCCCCTGTCTTCGGTGACACAGAATAAGCCCACAGCACTGTTAGGATCCGAAGATGGGAGCAATGCATCAGTTAAGTGGGATTACTGGTACATGGACGACTGTTGTAAGAGGGCTATCCGGTCTGAGGTATTTTGCGATTTTACTCAGTCCCCCGCGAACAGTACCGCGACGATGTGTGGATAGGCGGTGCAGTTTCTCGTGGAATGTTCCTCGAGAGGCATTGTCTTTTCCGTTGCATTTGCAATTGCTACTGGGTTTTAAGGGGTTGAACAGTTTTAGTCATGGATTGATTCCTGTACAATAATTTGTGTTGCTGTTTGCAGTAACGCTGTACGAGCTGAGAATTTTTTTTTTTTTTAAAAAAAGGATTTCATTTGTTCTGGTCGTCTCACGCGGATGGCTGAAGACTTTGAAGGTGCGGTGTCTGCCCGCACAGTCTCGTTGTTTAGATCGCAACTTGGCGACATTGCCGGTCATTCATTGTCTTTCACGTTGTTTAACGCGCTGCAACGTGAAGATCACAGAGTTTCCTCGAGTTCTAGACTGCGTCCTTTACCGCAGTTTGCCATTAAATCCTCCAGGTCACCCGGCAAGCACTTGACTGAGTTCTGCCCCTCGGTCTGGTCTGCTTCACTGCGCCTACTACACAAAGGAAGTCGTCGTTCAGTCGTTGTGTCGTGTAACCTGACGGACTGCAATTCACAGATACTCGGATCGATGTGAAGGAGGGATTCTGCTGTAACTTTCCTTTATTGATTGTCAGTGCCTGCATTATGCAGTGCATCGTGGCAGTCAAATAGTAGCCTGCATTGCCCACTTGATGTTGATGTCTTTTGTAGGGGTTGGGAACCCCGAACCCCTCTTCCTCCTCATGAGTGGTTGTCTGGAAGTGAGGGTGGGACTGTTGCACCCTTCCCTCGTCCTCGTCCTCTCCTGTGTTTCGGCGATGAAATAAGATGATGTAGCTTACAAGCAAGTCCTTGTGCCGGCGTCTGTAGGCAGCGAACACTGCGATGCTTGTTCAGTCCACACAGATCAGTGCGTCGCGATAAGACGAGCTTCAGCGAGCCGCGTTGAGGAAAAATGTAGTTAGATTATTTTATAAGAGTTGTGAGGAGGTAGAAGAAGTGTTTCTTGTTCTTTCGCTCTCTCTCTCTCGCTCTCTCCGTCCCTCTCTTTCTCACTCTAGTAGCAGTTTGTTTTCTTTTAGTCGGGCCACTTTTCGGTCCCGGTGCTGGTCGCTGTGGTTCCGAAGCTCTTGGCCTTGGTTTCGGGCTTGGCCTTGGTTTCGGGCCGGCGTACCGCTTCGCTGCTGCCAACCCTGGGCTCTCCAAGGGCCGTTGCCTCCTATTCGAACAAGGTAGGCCCACAAACCTAACTCTTTCTGTTCTGCACAGCTTCCGTGTCAGTCACATTCTGTTCTCTCTCATTAACCTGATTTCTTTTCTTTTCACTCTACATCTTGTTGGCTGTTTGGGTAAATTTCGAATTCTTACTCTCTCTCTCTCTGTGCACGTTTATTTATTAAGTATTGATGTTAATAACTTACCATTGATCTAATAGATTATCTTCTGAGTCGCTTGTCTACGAACTGTCTATTTTATTAACCTTTCGCGCTTTTTAATCGGCCTGTGTGATCACGTGTACAGTACGTTCAAGATTAAAGTAAGCTTAAGTTTAAGTTACCCGGTCGCAGTCCGCCGAGTCGGTTTGCCTCTGACGGCAAAGCAAACGAGTTCGTTTTCGTCTTCTGGAGAAAACATTGATCCGATAAATATGGTTACGTGGCGGGCGGGGGGCGGCGTATTTGTGTAAGCTCTGTGCTTAATCCGTCCTCCCCGTCCCCAGGCTTGTGAGTACCCTCCTCCCGGCCCTCCCGACCTCAGTTGGCTTTGGCAGGCAGTTGTCGCGGATTACGGTGCGAACAGGAAGAATTGCAATGAGCTTGATCTGCATACTATAACGAGACTGGCGGACATCTGCTGCACAGACTCTGCTCAGCAGCCTCACTGGACTTTTGCACGCACGCACGTACATACACACTCTCTAAACGTATGGAGAGTGTTAGCTGAGAGATCTGTAAGAGGAGGTGGCCGTGTGGGGAGCGTGGTGAAGGAGATGGACCATGTGCCCCAGTAACACGCAACTGCAGAAGTGTTGGGCGTTGTGACAGAATCTCTCTTCGTGTGCTTAAGTGGGTCTGCTGCATTATGCAAGGGGAATCGGAAATCGAGCCGTCACACCGCATGTTTTAGCTTCGGTTGGATAATATCGTGCCGATTCGGACAGGCGAGAGGAGGGCCTAATTACACGAGTCCTCATGAGGACAAACTTCGTTCTGCAGTCGTGCTTGGCTAGTCGCCTACAACGCGCTGCTATTTATACGTGGAAGCTACTCAAGACGTCCGCTGTATTTTGTTTTACTCGAAGGTTCATCACAAGAGCCTGAGCCAGATTAGTCCACTCTCCGCACCCATATTAATCTCGTCACAGTTTTTTTGCGTGGAAGCTTCTCGGCTGTAACGGAGTATCGTCTCGCCTTCTGCGGGTCCAGTATATGCAGGCGCACGAAGCAGTCAGCCTTGTCTGTGACTGCTGATTCGGTTGAAGTTGACGCTGGCTTCTCATCCGTCACATAGCGCTCTACATGCCTCGCCCATCTCATCGTCTGCTTGATTTAATCACGTTGATAACTTTCGGCGTAGAGTACGAAACATATTTAGATTCTCTGGTAGAAAATGTTGTCGGAACGAAGTTTGGACGCAGCTTGCAGGTGAAATTCTCGGCTTTGGCGACAGGCCTCGTGGCCGTGGTCCGCCTCATGTTTTTCGCGTGTGTTCTCAGGGGCTTCGTTTTATTTTATATTTCTCGTCAGGGCAGGGGCAGTTCCCGAAACGGAGCGTTGCCGCCCCGCACTCGTCTTCATTTGTACGTTTCATTGGGGGTGTTTGGGAACAAGTAGCTTCTGCACATTCAGCCGAGCGTCGTTCATATCCTCCCAGCATCGTGCGTGCTGTCAGCCTAGATGGGCCAGATTGACAAAAAAATGTAATACATTTTCACAGGGGGTGGGGATCGCTGGGGGTGCTTGCCGTATTGAAGAGCTTGGCTTTATCAGTGTTGAGTCGTTATTACGAAGTTTTCTGTGTAACAAACGGAGAAGAGGTAGCCCCTTTTATCTGAAACTAACATAATTAAAGAACAAGCACTGTAATTTCACTTAATTAAATTCCCTTCTTTCGGGGACGATATGAACTTTTTTCCACCCAATGAACATTAAAACTCGGCGTTTAATTTCATCAGGATCTAAGAGAGATTTGACCATAAAAAGAAGGGGAGAACAGAGGGCGAGAGGAAAAAACGTACAGGAAAGACGAGGAGGCAGAAGTGAGGGAAGAGCATAGAAAAAGAAGTAAGGAGGAAATAAGGCATTGAGAAAACTTCTCGGCGTGAGAAAGTGGCAAAGCGCTGGCTGAATTCGTGAAGCATGTCGAAGAGCATCTTTCGTCTGCCGGGCTGGCTGGCTTACTTTCCTCCGGTCGGCCGTCTTCGTTCCCGGAATCCGCGGGGGCAGACGCTCCTTCCGACCCGCTTTATTTACATTTGCCCAGTTCGTCACCCTGAGGTCAATTGGTCACTGGTGGTGCTGGTAGTCTACCTTCATTTTGGCCCGACTCGCTGAATATTAAGTCAACGCGCGGAATTGGCGCGTAGTAAATTGAAAAATAGAGTCCCCGAAGGAACGGTTGACTAGAAGAAAAAAACATGCGATTTTTGGCGTGAAAAATTTTGGTCTTCAAAATCTACTTGTGACGTTTGCTTCATTCATAATCACGTTGGGTTCACAGACATATAAAACGTTCCCTCATCACTTACACCTCCGAAGATTAGTTTCTGAGACTTTGCAGAGCAGTTTTTTCCCCTCCAAGTTCTTGTGTGTGCGGGGTTGGGGGGAGGGTGGCCATGTAGAACCACAATTTTACGGTGGAAGACGCAAACAAACAGCCGTGCCATACGCGGGTCTTCAAACCGCGACCGTCCATTCTTACTTCAACGGTCAGCGGATCTCGGAAGGCCGTTGTAACATTCGTCGGCCTGATGCAAAGTGCGCGCTTGAGATGTCTGGATCCTCGTAGCGTGTTTAATTTGAGAACCCCGTCCGCCTGCCTGTCAGCACTTGTCAGCAATAAGAAGTAGTCTCCGAGCGAGCATCCGAAACGCTTGGCGTGTGGAGTTATTTGATTAGGTAGGAGGATTAGGCCTACCTGATTACTGACAGGACCAAGAATGAATGACGACTCTCGTACAAATTTCCAGGCACTTTTTGTCGTGTCTCCGAGACCAATCTCTTAACAGTTGAGCTCAGAAGTCATTCGCTGTTACAGAAACGTTATAACACTAAAGCTCTTGCTTCTCACCACGGAGGGTTGTGTTCGATTCCTGGGGAGTCTAAGCAGTACTTGTGGTGGAACAAGTGGCACTTGTGCTGTTTTTCCTCCGGGTGGGATGCTTCGATTTTCCTCTGTCATCGCTGCACCACTAAACCCATATTTATGTATCACCACAGGCAAAATACCTTACCCCTCGTATCTCACCCGAAAATTGTCATACAACTTTCATAGCTAGGCTTGTAGTAAGGTAATGTTTCTGCATAGATCGTGTGATTTCATGATCGTTTATGTTTTATTTATTTAATGTCATTCTGCGTCAGACTTTATTAGTGCGAATGGCGGTCATCACGTGATTCAAGGTTCTGTACCGGTATGAGCCTGGAAGGAGTGAGTAAAACCAGGAAGAACCTCGGGATAGGCAATGTCTCCGTGCGGGTGTTTGAACGTTAATACCTTCCGAATACAAACCACGTGTGTCGACGCTTGTTTCGTCCTCGAAATTCTTGCTGTAGGGTTTGTGCACTTCTCGGTCAGAACTTCCTGCCGCAGATGAATTTGTCGGCCCCTGAACTTTCTTGCTGTACGTGCACGCACTTACTAGTTTGAGTCTCCTCGTTCTCGCAGTCGCTAATCTGACATAACGACGCCGTGCCCCCATGATGCGGGTCCTTCCTATCTCCACATCTCCGTCTCTTTCGTAATTTACTGATATCAGTGCCGGGAGGAAGGCCCGATACCAGACGGCAGATCGTGAACACGGCCCCGCTTTAGGCATAACCTGGTCTGGAGCTGTTTCTGAGTTCATTCGACTTTTCTTGCCTGCGTTTCCAACCAAAATTTGCAAGCATGGTCATGCCTGTTCGTCTATCCGCATGTAACAAATCGAGAACGGATTTTCATGAAATTTGCTTTTGGGAAGCTTTGCTAGAGTTTGTCGTGTAACTCCCATTTTGGTTAAAATCGGCCATCACCAGCTTCCACTTCGCACGATGCTCGGGGAAGTGACTGGCGGAGGATTCCTCAGGTTGCACAGCCTCTTCACTTGCTGTCAGGAGTGTTCGGTATTGCATTTGTAAGCTGTGAGCTCGCTGTCAGACGGCGCTTTCTCAGCGTGGAGTCCCCGGTTAATCCAGGGTGATCTATGCGTTAAAAGTGACACTGGACCGGGTTTTCCCTCACGTGCGTCTGTTATACCTTAATTCAGTCCACAGAGCACCGCTGGCCTCTGTCCTCAGTCCGATGAATCCAGTCCTCGCCTTCCAGCCTGAAGTATCTTGGACCAGTTTTAATATTATCCTCCCAGTTACGCCACGCAGTTCGCATGTCTTCCACACGCACTGTATGCCCTGCCGACCTCACGACGTCCTTGATTTGATCATCCTAAAGTATTTGGTGATTATGGAACGCCTCGTCGTGAAGTCTTTTCCGTATTCCGTGTTGGTCTGCTACCTGTAGGATCCACACTTAAACCGAGTTGAATACCCAGCAGATGCGCACGCAATGCCTTCCTGTTTGATGCGTAGGCCTGCGTTTTGTCGTGTCGTTTGTAGTAGTTTGAATCGTGGCGTAAACAAACTTATCTGCTTGGATCGTGGTCTTGTAGGTGGTTCCAGCGTTTCGGAGCAAGGTATCGCTTCCATTTTCAGGGTTTGAATAATTCTCTTCGAAAGCTTGGTACTCACTCACCTACAACCGAGAATACGCGGAACAAATTGTTATGTTTCTTGTCACTGTTGTTGCGTGGCGCCACGATCTCTTACTAAGAAAAGTTATTTCCAAATTTGCAGATGGGCCCGCCGCCCTCGGCCCCGGGCCCTGCCCCGGGCGCGGTCACTTCTCAGCCTCACCAGGGGCCGCGAAGACGTGGGCGTGGCAGTGTCCCGCGCAAGCCGGGATAAGCCTGAGCCTGGGCCTGGGACTGGGACTGGGACTGGCAGCCTCCGCCGGGCCGTTCCCCATTTTCCCGCAC